TTATTCAGTAATGAATCATGGATGAGTGTTGCTCTGAGATGCGCCGTGGTTCTGTTGTTTGGAACTATTTTCGCTGCTGAAACAGAACAAAAACAGTCATTGCGTCTAAAAATGTAAGTAACATAATTTGAACTATTTTACTTATCGAACTGTTATGAAATCAATATCTCGGTTTCAATCGTGATGGCATTCAGGAAAACAGCACTCTGGTCGTGTGTAGCCTATATATTGTTTCTTAACTATAAATTAATGTTATAAATAACTGCGCGAGCCGCAACAGCGCAACTTTGTCCGTACATTAGCAGGAGCACAACAACAACAACTCACTCGGCTAGCTGCCCTTCTCTATCTCCACGGTGGTTAAAAATGGTACGGTCCACAATAGGGGTGTTCGCTGAAATCGCTTTACATTAAAATGTTCCTACAGTGAAAATAGGAGTTGACTTGTATTGTAACTGTAATTATATTTTTTCACAATATCAGAAAAATTATCTGACCCCCCCAAAACTGACATTTCTGTCTTATAGTTCTTATAGTACCCCCTGTAATTCGCACTATGCTTGAAGGTTCAACCTATGTGAACACACCAACAAAATTGTGGACATGATTTGAAAATGCTAAATGATCTTGAAAAAGTTGTCAACTTGTACTGTTAGCTGTAAAAAAAGTCATAAATCAGGAATATGGTTTATTGTTAAAGTTGAAGTTAGTTCTAATATTACTATTTCTCTCTCTCTCTCTCTCTCTCTCTCTCTCTCTCTCTCTCTCTCTCTCTCTCTCTCTCTCACTCTCTCACACACACACACACCTCGTTTCATTTCAGAAGACATTGATTCTGGGTACGTATGGATTGTCATCTCATTCAGTTTGGTTTTTGTAGCATCAACTTTAGAGTCCCATACACTTACATTATATGGACTCACCAGCCAGTTCTCATCCCAAGGCTTCATCTAACTGACGCTTTTGACCATGCGTTAACATGCCGACGCACATGGTACCCCTTAAGCGTCAATATGAGACGCGCCTCCTAGTGGTCTAACCCTAACCCTACCTCAGACCTAAACCTACCCATAACAGAAGCGTCATCTGACTGACGCTAAATGGTGCCATGTGCGTCGGATTTAGACGCATGGTCAAAAGCGTCAGTTAGATGACGCCCGAGGATGAGCGTCTCATGTTGACGCTTAAGGGGTACCATGTGCGTCGGCATGTTGACGCATGGTCAAAAGTGTCAGTAGATGACGCCTTGGGATGAGAATGTGTTGATTATTTTTTTTTTAAATTGTTTTGTTCATCTGAAGAAAGAAAATTCCATACATCTGGGCCGGCATTAGAGTGAGTAATTGAGAGAATATAGGTGTCTGTGTGAGAGTAGAAATGTATGTATGTGAAAGGAGAATGTAAGTGTGTGTGAGACTAAGTATGTGAAAGGAGAATGTATGTGTGTGTGTGTGAGAGTAGAAATGTATGTATGTGAAAGGAGAATGTATGTGTGTGTGTGTGTGAGAGTAGAAATGTATGTATGTGAAAGGAGTATGTATGTGTGTGAGAGTAGAAATGTATGTATGTGAAAGGAGAATGTATGTGTGACAGTAGAAGTATGGATTTTGGCTTGTACAGCCCCTCATATATTTTTATTGGAATTTTACTATTTCACCCCCATTTACTTTCATTCACTTTGGTTTTTGTATTAGGATTTAAAAAAAATAAAAAAAATGTTTTGTTCATCTGAAGAAAGAAAATTCTATACATCTGGGCCGGCATTAGAGTAATTGAGAGAACTTTGAGAAATGAGAGTGTACCTTAAAGCTGCAGTAGGGAGTTTTGAGAAAACGTTGACTTAGCCTGAAAATTTGAACAAGCACAAGTTACAGGTCCCACCCCCTTGCTCTCTGCTGCGCTACAGCCCTCCCTCCACAGCTCGTCCTCCACAGCAGAGCCTGCCGTGAACGCGCAGGCTAGTAAGCAGGGCCAGATTAAACATCAACAATATGCTTTACATTGACTATGGCCTGCCCATACTTTGACTTCAAACTTGGTCCTCAAATCATTATGTATTTTGCAATACATGTAATGTAACTTTATAACGTTGCACCCTTAAGTTATAAATAGCTAGTAAGATAATACAACGGTAACTAACGTAACATATATAATATAATTCAAGTAATTATTCTAGCGATATGTAGGCCTAATGCTAGATAAGGTTTGCTAGTACATTTGTAACGGGGGTTCAGTTGTTATGGGAAGGAGGAGGCGGGAACCGGCGAACGTTCAACAAGTTTAATAATAAATAAACGATTACAAAATGAAAGTATAAGCCAGCAGCCCCTCACGGACGACTGCTGGCACACAAAACAGAACATAAAATCACATGTAAAATCAGGTCTGTTCCTCTCTCCACTGTCGTCCTTTATGCTTCCGCTTCTCAGTGAGAGATGCGAGACCGGTGCGTCTCACAGGTGTCGTTCATGATCACTCGCACCGCTCTCACGTCCCTCGGCCTCGTCCTGCTCGCCACAATATTATTTCAGCAACATGACAAGCCAGTGAATAGTAGGTTTCAATTGTTGCTTTGCACAGTGCGTGGCATTTTATCTAACGTTACATGTCATACGGCTAGAGTTTTGCCACCAAGTCAATGGGCTCTGTCTAATTATTTTTTTTCCGCTTGTTTATCGTCATCGTTTTTTTTTTCCTTTTACTCGTCTTTGTTTTATGGGCAGGTGCCACTCGAGAAATTGGCAGTTTGTTTCTCCACCATTAGCACAGCTGCGGCACACCAGCAATCTTGAGTTTGGTTTGAACGACGGTACGGCGCGCGCTGTGCAAGAGAGGGGTGTGATCAGCGCGTACACGAGCGTGATTGACACTGCTAAGACATTCCTCCTGGCTTTGATTGGTTGTTTCTGACCGGGAGCGTGTATTTCTGCAAATTGCAATAGGACCACTGGGAGGAGCCAGAGGAGCTTGATTTTTTCACAGAATATCTGTCTCATATTCTACTGTCAGGACAGTTTTAACAAATATGTAAAAAATATTTGTTTACAAAAGTTACCTACAGCAGCTTTAAACCCTTGTACGACCTTATGGACATTTTTGTCTTTTTCAGGTTTTCATTTATTTATTTATCATTTTGCCTGTGTTAATGCCAACTGCATACATTTTGGAACAAGTGTGTGTTTTTATTAGAATTTTACTATTTAACCCCCATTTACTTTAATAAATCTAGTTTACACTGGTAACACCAAATAGTACACTTGGGATCATAAGGACAAACATGTCCCCATTGAAACCCACTAAAACTGCAATCTTTAATCCCAGGGCCATTTAACTTGAAAATGATGCAATCTTTTTTAATAGGCTTTCATTCTGTTGGCAAGGCTTCAAATTTTCTAATTTCTTTACCAGATGGTGTCATTTTCTCAGGGTTGGCCTTTATCACATATACTCGCTTTAGTCCTGTTTTCTGCTTCTACATAATAGCCAATTGGATAAAATAGTGTGTGTGCGTGCGTGTAATATTTGAGAGAGAAAAACTCTACAGTACTGCAAATCACAAATCCAATCACTGTGTGAACCAGTGGAGTTTTGCTGGCATCTAATGGGGGAAATATGGTACTGCGCCCAAACAATTTATGGATTTGATTTTCTAGCAGCTTTAGAGTTCAACATGTTTCATAAATTATGTATTTATATTGTTCATAAATTAAAACCTCTATAATTTTTGTTTTGTTTTACTTAAACGTTTTTTTTTTTTGTTTACTCCAACAATAATCTGCCACGGGTCTTTAAAATGAGACTTGTCACATTGTGGGTTTTGTGTCCTGTTCCTTGTTCTTGTCTGTCATGTGATTCCCTGATTGTCATGTGATCCTGCCATGTGTCTTGTCATTTGTTAGTTGTCTGATCATTGTTCACATATTCCTTGTCTTGTAATTAGTCTGTGTATTTTAAGCCCTCGTGTTTGCCCTGTGTCTGGGTCTAGTATTATCTTTAATAAACAAAACAAGATCAAACATAAAACAAAGGCATGAAACTGGAAACAAGAACATGAAAACTTGGAACACTCATTTCAACATACTACGATTTGGGACGTACTAATTCTATTTTCGAATACTATTTAGGACAGATAGTATGTGAATTGGGACGCAGTAAGGGCAGTTTACGGTGACAGGATGCACGCGACAGATCTGTCCGTTAAAGATGACGAAGTAGTATGTCCCAAAGCTTGCCTACTCTTTTGCTACATACTCAAAAGTATGTATTTTTTCTTCACAGAAAGAGTACATACTTTTAGGGCGTAGTATAAGTAGTTATAAGTAGGCGAATTGGGACGCAGCCCAAGCTTCAAATTTTTATGACAGTTTTTTTGTTTACATTTTTGTCCTCTATGAACCTATGTGTAACTTTTTTTAAATTGACGCACAAGGGTTAAGAATGGCGTGTTTAAGGAAAAGCACTAATAATAACCACTGTCATTGGCTAAATGACACAACTTCCTGTCTTTCTTTAGAGTGAGTCTATCATTAAAAGCATCCGTAACATTAACAGAAACACACTGGTTTTGATCAAGAGTAGTGCATCTTTTATTCATTAGATCTACATGAATCTGCATCTGTTCCAACCAAATAAACAAAAAATAAAACAATAATAGCTTTTACAATTTAAGTCTTGCTGAAAGTGAACTGAAAACAGACTTTTAATTTACTCTGAACTTTTAACTTCATGTTAGTTGTAGTATTTGTTCTTTTATAGGTGTGCAATAGTTATAAAAGGGGATTGTTGCGTAAAGTTACAATAACTGCCCCATATTCCGGATAATACAACTGTCTCATAAGCAGGAGATGCTCAAAGTTGTCAATCGTGTACTGTACTTCATAAAATAATAATAATATATAACCTTTACAAAACAATATGTAGGCAAAAGAAAAAAATTAAGATAAACAAGCCTCTCATACAGTATATTTATATCAGTCTGTTTCAAATATATATATAGCAAAAAAATAAGCATAATAACATTTGTAAATCACATTTTTAATAACCTGGACATGTCCGTTCATGTCCAAACCCTGCATTCCATTAAACACTGCCTGACAAATAAATACATTCCTGAAAATAAAACACCTATTCCAATACTTCTAAATTGCCTATACTGTAAATATAATTCATATATACCCCATTGCTGTGCAAGAATCAAATGTGACCAAACAAATTATCCTGGCCCCACTGACATGTGCAATACAGGTTTGAGCAGAACTTATACACACTGGCACACTATCTAACTCCACGCATACAGTTGCTTTAGTTTGCTTACAGTTTTCTGTGGGACCTACTGGCTTACAAGGAAGAAAATGTACAACGTTTGTCAGTCTCCATGCAAGAAAATCACAAATATCTCACATATCTGGACAGGCATGCTTCAGGTCGTTCTTCATCACATTTATTTTGTTCTTTTGGTGAGTATTACGTGTAGTCTCGTGTGCTTCAAATCGTCATTGGTGCTAGACGCTCCTTTGGGTCCCTTGAAATCCATAGTTGCTTTACTCTCCTTCAAACTATGGTGTCTTGGAAGGTAAAGATTGAGTCTTGTAATGTCCCTCATTCATAAGGCAGAAGAAAGCAGTCCGAAGTGTTGGAGACTCCATTGGAATCCATCAACCAGTGATGCAAAATGCCACTTTATGCAGATCAGAATGTTCCACCACATGGTCGCCAGTATTTAGCAACAGGAAGGATCCCAGCCGTCCAGGCTTTTCTTATTAAAAGTAGTCCTGCTGTGAAGTACAAACTGTGAAGCCATACCGTAGGCTATGTGTTGGTCTATATAGGTTTCTACGGAGTGCAGCAGGCATGGGAGTAGTGCTACAGGACAAGACAGAGAGTGACTGCTGTGCTAGTTTGGTATATAGACATGTGGAGAGAACTGGTTTGGGATATTGAGGGCTGTATTAGCTTTAGATTGCTCCAAACCCGTCCTATATCACATTTTCAAAGAGCTGCATGGAGTTCATGATGTTTTCGTCCTGGAAAGCAGAAAGAAACAGTTATGACCGTTTGTAATGGTTGGTTGGCATCAACCTTTCACTGCCATTGACGGAATTTTCCGGCTTTCACTGTTAAACGGTAGGGGGCATAGTTACATTCAAGTGCTGATAAAAAAAGAAGAATACATGAAGCTAGAATAACATGTTCATGTTTGTTTGTTTAAGCAGAGGCTCTGTTTTTTTCTTTTGACATATTGCATGTTTAGATATTCATTCATTCATATCAACAAAATATTTTTTTATATAATTTTTTATATATGCCATATACGTTTTGTGAAAATGATCAAAAATGCTGGTGGTGGCTGGCAACTATTTACATACCTTTGAATTGAATGTGATCATTTACATAAAAATTGTTATACAATTTTGCACTAAATAATGCAAACATTGACATCTGAAGGGATTTAGGAATATTTACGTATGCTTTAGCACTGAAATGAATGTGATAATTCACATAAGAATGGATTTATTCGTATTTATTCATTTTGACATTGAATGGAATGCGATCATTTTCATAAAATGGATTCACAAACTATTTACAAATATTTTAAAATTGAAATGAATGTGATGATATAAAAAAAAGATTTGAGAAACATTGTACGTACATTTTCACATTGAATCGGAAGCAATAATTTACGTATTAAACTGTTAACACATTTTGAACTGAATTGAATGTGATCATTCAAAAAGAAATAGTTATATGAACAATGTACTGTACGAAAAATCTGAATGCGATAATTTACATATTAAGAAGCATTTTACGAGCAATTCACATACCTTTTCCATTGAACTGAAAGCTATCATTAACATGACAATGGTTTTATTAACTAGGCTATTTACTCAATTTTCACGTCAAATTGAATGTGATAATTTAAAGAATGTAATTTTTTAATTTATGTAAGAATGGTTACAAACATTTCAAGCCAAAATGTGTGGGTAAATACCAATATCAACTTACTTTCTGACAGGTCTCAATAAACTCCTCAATGGTGACCACACCATCTCGATTTCTGTCCATTTTCTATAAGAAAGTTATAAAGTGTAGACGATCTTAATGCTAGTAAGATTGTGTGTGTTGAGTGTCTTCATATACATAAATGTGCTTGTTATTGGTACCTGGAAGAATTTTTCCACATGTTCAGATGGAGCTTCATCTCGCACACTGGGGTATGTGTACCTGCCCATCATGTCGTAGATTGACTTCATGATTAACAGCATCTCCTACATGCACGCAAACACACACACATGCCACTTATTACTCTTTGAGTCCGCTTGACAAAAGTATCAGTGATAGAACCCCTGGAGCATTACAGCATAAAGGTTTGGTGAGCACCTCTTTAGTGATGTAACCATCCTTGTTGATGTCGTAAAGGTTGAAAGCCCAGTTGAGCTTTTCGGTGACAGATCCTCTCAGCAACACGGACAGACCAATCACAAAGTCCTGCCAATGAGAGCAGCCGAGTCAGGGAAAAGGTAATAAAGGGTAATAAAGAAACACTAGCCCCTTTCACACAGAGCGTTGATCCCAGAATATTGCCATAGAATTGCTGGAGTGCCTTCTGTGTGAACGTGAACATGTCCCGGGATTGATCCCAGGATGGGGACCTAGTAACATTGCTGGGATCAGTCCCGGAATGCGCCCTGTGTGAACAAAAGGCAGGACCAATGCCGTAATGTCGTAGTGAGGACGCTGAAGCTGAGATTGTTTGCCAGCCTAGTGGAACGGTACGCGATGGGCTATTTTATGATGGAATCAGAAAAAAAATGCAAGAGCATGGAGAGAGAGAAATCGCAGATCATAAGCAAACTTAAAGTCCCCATGAAATAAGAATTGAAGTTTTTTGGCTTTTAGAATGAATATGTTAGCCTTACTGTTAGTGTTATCTATAAGCTAGTGTGCTTCCGAAACAAGACAAAATTCACATTTACAAGATATAAGCATTCAAAACTTACAGTCTCTCACTTCCACCAATATGGATCATTGATTTTGATGACATCACTCTGCACTTCAGCTTCTCATCAGGCTTTCTGTCCAATCAAAATCTCTCTAGAATCTGAAGAGTCCCGCCCACTACATTATAAATAGACGCTGAATCTGTGGCTGAAATCGGTCACTTGTTTGCACATTTACTATTTTCTACATGATGAATGGCACATAGTGCACTATATAGGGGATAGGGAACGAATCAGACAGTGTAAATATGCTTTCCATTGGGGTGAATGAAGTCTGGTTTCACGTTAGTGTCTCGTGAAACGCCGCAGCACACACAGTCTGCTCCGGTCCAGAGACACAATAGCACAGAGCAGATCACATGATCGAGTCGGAAACTGTGGCTTTACCGAGTTTAACGGCTCCGGCCGAGCAGTGATATAAACTAAACGCTATTGGCCATTTTTTAAAAAGGGGAGGAGTTGTTCGATATGTCCCGCCCTGTTTTCCTGATTCAGTGGAAATTACGTCAACACATTGAATAATGCTGCGACATTCAAGGCACTTCAGCAGGCCTTCGGAGACATTACATGTCACATCCTGATGTCCCGTGTCTTTACGGGATCTTTACGGGATGTGTGTGAACGCATGCACAGATTCCAGAAAATCACTGGCAGTGTGAATGAACCAAAATCAAACGGTCCTGGGACACATTAGCAGTAAATGTTCCGGAACCTCAGTGTGAAAGGGGCTTATGAGTAAAGAAATTCTCACCTCAAAACGAATGGAGCCATTTCTGTCAAGATCAAATGCATTAAACAGGAAATGGGCGTATGTGGTGGCATCTGAGGGAATAATGAAAAATAGATCAGTAAGATAATAAACTTCAAATTAGTCTTCAATCTGAATTCATGCTAAACCAATATACAGATTTACTGATTTAGTGAAAAACATTTGTATTTACCCCCTTGGGGAAAGAACTGAGAGTAGATGGTCTTGAAAGTTTCCTCATCAACCAAACCACTTGGGCACTCCTTAAATGGAAAGAGAGGCACATCTAATTAAACATCTAATTAAACAGATAATGGACTAATTCTCACTGTGCCACATCGGCAGCTCATGAAGGCTTTAAATAAGAGCATTGTGCTAATTTTTTGCCCTATATTGTACACATCTGCTTATGCAAACAGAAAGAACAACATTTTCAATCCCAAAGCTTTTCTTTAAATATGAACTGTCATTTTTCAAAAATGAATTATACTACTATAATTTGTGCTGCAGACATGAATGATAACTCAATAGTGCTGCTTGTTGAGGATAGGTGTGGTAATACTTTTTAAACAATCAGGTTGAATTGTCACCTGTTGGACAGTAAAATGGGTGAAAGAATTACATGTTAAGGGAGGAACTCAAGTCCAAAATATTTGGGTGTAGACTCTTTTGACTTGATGGGCCAGTGAGAAACCACCTAGCAAGCAACCATCCAGAATACTCGGAAAACACCCTATAGCAACAAACCAACAAGCACCCACAGTGCCCTAGAAACTACTTAGCAAAACCCCAGAATTTGCAAAAAAGAAACCACCTAGCAATGCCCTATACCACCCAGAATACTCTATATACCCTCGCAATTAACTGCTTAGTGACAACAATCCAACACAAACAGTGGTTAAATGTAAAAAATCAGGATTATTTGCAGTTCTGTTTGGAGTTAGTTATACAAAAATGAAATCCTTTTTCTTTAATAATGTTCTCAAAACGTTAGCTAAAAAAAACATTATTCCTGGAACATTTTTCGTTTTAGTTGGACATTCATCGAATGTATTTTTAAATGTTACTTCTGTAATGGTTGCTGTCTTATGATTGAAATTGCGAAATGGCCTTAGACAATAACTAAATAAACTGCAAAATGTTACGTTTTCTAATACATTTATTTCATGCATGGATTCTTTTGACGGCGCTTTACGAGCTTGCAGCGCCATCTGCGGGAAAGTTAGCCAGGGCTCAAAGCGCCAAATTCGAGTAAAATTCGGCATTGAAATGGTTATTCACCAGTTGCCCAGTAACTTTTTTATGAATTTTGTCAATGCGTGGTTGTGAGAATGTGACATGGTTTAGTGATTGTTGTGATGTAATTATATAAATATATAGTCTGACGCACTGCATTTTTCAGAGTAAAGCCAAAGCACAGCACTGTGTTTATTTTCAGTTTCAATTCACAGTAAATGCTAGTGCTACTCTGCAAGTGTTGTGTGTTTGAGTCACTTATAACTTGCATTTGGGAACCCAACATGCGCCAACCATCTTCCCAAATTCATAATGTCAACAAAGAGAAGCATTAAAGCATTAAGGTCTCCCTGCGGTTTTCCACCAAAGTAAAAGCTTGGTTTAATGTTTGAAAGCAAAGAAATTAAGACAACCATACATTTTAGTATTGTCATTTTACTGTTGTCCTGTAAAATAAAATAAAATAAATATCAAATAATAATAATAATAATAACAAATCCATTCATAATTGTATTATAACATATAGGCCTGGTTTCACAGACAGTGTTTAGATTAAGCCAGGATTAGGCCTTAGTTCAATTAGGTCATCTAAGTATCTTTTATGAACAAACGCGTTCTTGCTATGCAATGGAATATCCGCGGAAGTGTTACTAGTATCTCATTTCAGATAGTTTGTTTCTGTATTGTTTCTATATAAAAATTTCGATACAATGCAAAGTATTTAGTCTGGCTCATGTTTTAAATTATTTTGTTCCATCTGTTGATGTTGTACAAGCAGGATGTGGCGGTTGGTCGGTGTTGTATTTGCCCCTCCTCCGCGGTGATTGGACGACAACGACGCCTCGGGAAATACGCTTTGGTGAACACAAGGCCTAAACCTTGTCTGTGAAACCGGGGGATATAATATAATATAATATAATATAATATAATATAATATAATATAATATAATATAATATAACATAATATAATATAATATAATATAATACTCATAATCCTTCCTCAGTCACCAGACCAATCATTTCGCACTACATTCCCCATAATCCCTCCTGGCTCACACCTGCACTCACTCATCTAATCATCACACCTGTTCATTTTCATTTCATTATCTCTGTGTATAGAGGGTATGCGCATGACGTCACCGTCGGCCGGAGTGAATGCGGTCACGCCCACAAGTGGCAAAAAGACTGAGCGGCAGCATTTGTTTTCAGCGTGAATGCCGTGAAAATCACACAAAACACATCTAAAACGGGAAAGAGCTTTGCGATTGACTGTACAACTAGATTTGACCAGAAATCTGAGGTACTGTATATTTTTACAGACTGCAAAAAGCTACAGAACAGACTATATTCTGCATAATTGGATGTTTTTAAATAAACACTGACAAAAAACTATACAAGTTTTAGGGCTGGACGATATGATGATATACAGTATAACATTAATGTAAGTGATCACTCGGATTTAGACCTATCTATATTGTATTTATATAAAACGTTTACAGGCTAATTTTCTTCATTTATTTCCCCGGCGTCGAAATCAGGCACATATAAATGTCAGGAAACACGATTCCTGGCTGCATGTCAATATCCATGGATCACTGGATCTTTGATAAGTTGTAAGGAACACTATATCGAGTCCAACTTTTAGTTTAAACTGATAATAGTTTGTTTTACTGGATTTAACGCAGTTTCCCCTATTAACTCCAGTCACGCAGCAGCTCTTCTACCACTCAGTCCCGCTGAGGGGGGCGTGTTCCGGCGGGGAAGTGACGTTAATGCATTCCCTCTATTAATGCCGCGTTCCAGGCAACCTGTAACCCGTGTTTTTCCAACCTTATACCCGTGAAAGTGCACTGGAACGGCAGTCAAACCCATGACTTCCCACCCGTGAACTCGTACTAGATCGATGTACTCCCAGTTACGAGTTCTGACGTCACATAGCCCGCAAAACCATACAAAACAACAATGGCAGCCCCTACGGATGCAGTGTTTCTGCAGGCGGTACACAGTGAGAATACACTTTAGGACAATATAACGTTGCAGTCAAATTAATAATAATATAATAATAATGATAATAATACACACAAGATTATGTATTACAATGTTATGTGTCTGAAACAATAAGTATGTATATACACACACGATTATGTATTACAATGTTATGTGTCTGAAAAAAATAAGTATGTATATTGCGCTCAGGTAGTTTGGCGTGAGTGGCCTGGAATGCTACAAAGTCGTGAGTCGTGGTTTGAAGTCGTGATTTACGTGCTCAAAAACCTGCCTGGAACGCAGCATAAGTTCCCCTGTTTTCAGTCTTTGGTTGTCGGTAGTCCTCGGGACCCACTGGTCTGCATATTGTGTATGTCTCCCTTATTTAACACACCTGATTCAGATCCTCAGCTCGTTAGGATAGACTCTATGAACTGAACTGAGTGTGTCAGATAAGAGAGACATACAAAATGTGCAGAGCAGCGGGTCCCGAGGACTGGAGTTGAGAACCACTGTGCTATGCTATGCCTGTCTGCCTTTTTGTTTTATTAAATCACATTTATTTTGTATCCAGTTTTCAGTCTTGTGAGAATAATACAATATAAATATATTTTTATTATCATTATGATTAATAAATGCTCTTTTTTAACTTTACAGTACAATAGTGTAGTACTGCAATAATAAGAGATTTCTTAAATAATTGAATACAATAATTATTATTTTAATAAATGGCAGGTTTTCCTTTTTTGTCTTTAGCTGATCACTGTACCTTGCAATGGTCTTAAAAGTTTTACCACTGTCCAAACACAGTAAATACTGACCTCAACATTAACCCTTGTTTTCCCCCTCTCCTTCACAGACACTTACATTTTTGAAGCCCCGATAAAGGGACTGCAGCTCCTTCTTGGTGAATTTGGTCTGAGCCTGCAGCTGCTCCAGACCCTCAGGCTGATGTCTCACCGTGGACAGCTCTAGGTCACTTTCACTGCTGTCTATGGGAGAGAAAGAGAGAGGAAGAAGGGGAAAGCAGAGAGAAAAAGAGGGAAGGGGTCGGGAAGGGGGTGAGTGTATGGGATGCGGGATGGGGCGAGAGAGCATTTTAAAGAGGGAGACCGCGGTTGCGAGGAGAGAGAGAAGAGGAAGGGGGATGAAAGCAAAAGAGTTAGCATAAAAGTCAAAGACAGGCAGGAAGAGGAAAGAGATGGAGGTTTGATTGACAGGGTGTCACTTTCTTTTTCAATGTGATTGATTGTTGATGTCAATGTGAATTATTTAATTTTTTGAGGTTCCATACTATTACACTAAAGCAATTATAATTGAGGGGTTTAACTATTTGTTTCCTCTCAGCTCTGCTAATGTCTGGAAAAGAGTTAGCATAGCATAGCATAATAATAGGCCGATGCTTACACTCACCGTCTTAACAAAAACAAACAAAAAGTGAGATAGGGTGGTAAGAGAAGGACAGAAAGAGTCAGAGAGGGCGAGAGAGAAAAAGAAAAGCAGTCAAGTCAGCCACAAATATTAGAACAATAATCACAAAAAAGATGAAGGAAAAGAATCAGTGTTATTGTTAACTAACTAAAACTATTCAAATGTTTTTTTTTTTGTTAATTGAAATAAAGCTGACATAAAATAAAAATATTAAATGGAAAACTTAAACTTAAAAATAAAAATAAATTAAAGCTAAGCATAAACTAAAAATGACAAAAGTACTAAGTACAAAACAACACTGTAATATATTCTATGATCAATAAGTTATGACAACATATGTTTTTACATTGCTTTAACTCATCAAAATAAGTTCAATTTTCAACTTCTATAAGTTACAAGATTTAACTAAATTTAAGTCAGTTTAATGTAATTTAAAATGTTAAAAGTTAAACTGACTTAAACATCCAAGTTGATTGTTACAAATGTAAGGCAGCGACTTTTTTCACAGTGAAAATGACTAAACTCATTCAAAATATAATTAAATACTATATAAATAATATAATACTAAAATATCACTGCAAATAATGAAGCTTTAGGGAACAAAATATATTAAAATGAATTCAATTACACAAAAATATTTGCTTTTTAAGCTTCAATCTAACAAAAATTTGTGAGATTTATGCTTATTACAAGAAAAACAAAAATGTTATGGGGTAAGAAAAATCAACTAAATTCAAGATAAATTCTCTGAATATTATATGCAATTTTGCCTCTCAAAGTAATTCTGTTTTAAGGAAGTTTAGATATTTTGATAAAATGCCACAGATGACATCTATTTAACCCATAATATTAATATTTAAGGTCATGTGAATATATGACTTATAAACAATATCAAAAGGCTCCATTTTCAACCAACCCCTGAAATGACGTTTGCTAGTGATTCTCTCTCTCTCACCTGTCTCAGTTATGTCTATGAGTCCGAGCAGATGCATGAGTTTGAGAAACATTAAGACCAGGCAGACGATTCCCACGGTCTGTAACCCCTCTGTCTCCCACCTCACACTCATCCTGACACTCTGTCCCTCAACACTCTTTCACTGCCCGTCTTCCAACACTTGTTCTTCCAGGTTAGTCCTGTTTTAGACTGTGAATTCCACAAGCTTCATGAATAACTCCAGTAGAGCCGATAACACGTTTGAGGTACAAAGAAGTCCTGTGTCGATAGACATCTGGTCCAGATGATTTTCCAAAAAGTCAATAAAACATGGATGAAACAAAAAGTATCTTATGGTGTCATTTTGTCTTAGCCTTGTGTCCAAAATGACTCTGAAGTCCAGATATATGCTGGTAACTCTCCTCTCTCATTATTTCTTTGCCTCTATTCTTCTCACGTCTATTTAAAAGTTCACTCTGACACAATTTTCTGAGGGAATTGAGAAAACTCCCACTCAGGAGACAAGTTTGTCCCAATTAGATTTAGACACAACCCTAACATGAATCTTGAACTTTGACATGATACAAATGATGCTTAAATTGAGACAAGATTATTCTTGCTTTCACATAAATACATTATTCATTCTTTCAGATAAATACATACTACATCAATCTTTCAAATGAATGTTCCCTGACAAAAGTAAAAAGATTTTATGCTTTTGATCGGCTTTAATATTATGCCCTTTTACAAAGTCTTGATTTTGATTTGGGGTCAACTAGAATGCTTTCATGCTTGAATGTTGAAAACCCACATTATTTTTCACAAATTTTAGACTGTTGCAGCACCTCTGTTCCCAGTCTGTCTGAAATGCTCTGGGATGCATGTTATGTGGAGAAAGCTGCTGACTGAATGAACTGCATGTATACAGGAGTAAAGTGTACGCCAAATACTGCATGTTAGCGTGATTAATTTACAAATCAACGGCTTTCTGTTGTTTATGTAATTTAACTACAATAATATAAAATACAAGCATAGCAGAAGTTATAACTCCACCACCGGCACATGATGCCATTAATTCTCTATATTGTTGAACTAACATGGTTCAAGCGACAGAGGTGCGACTGGTGTCGTTACTAGCTAGTTTGTTTCTACAACAATGCATCGTATTATGTTGGTTAAACAGTGAGTTAGGCTACGTTGTTGTATGGGAAACACAGCCCTGATTAGTTCCTATTACTATAAAGCCCCTCCTTTCGAAAAGCGCAGTGAGCTCTGATTGGTGGGCTGTGGGATCAGTGTTGTGATTGGTCTACTGCTTCGAGCCCTTAACCATTACCACAAGACACTACTAACACAACTCAACCAGGCCTTGTTCCCTTTATTTTGCATATTCCTGAAACTGACGTTCCCGGAAGAAAACTCAAAGTTACAGTCGAGGCATTTCAGGGAGTTCAGAAGCAGTGCCTACTGATATAGAGAATAACTCCCTTTGGGATGGACTTTATGCTTTGTAACTTTGCAGACCTTTTTCATGCTCTCACATGCTCATGCTTACTCTCAAAAACGTGATCTTGGTCACAGATCCTCTTTACTCTCTGGAACTGCCCATATGGGACATTCTCTTTAAGCCAGTTTGGATGGAAGCTCTTGGCATGTAAAATTGTGTTTCTGTCTGTCGGTTTTCTATACACTGATGTATGTAAGGTACCTTGGTTATCTTTTGAAATAGTCAAATCAAGAAAATTAATACACTCTTTGCTATATTCTAAAGACAACTTGATGTTTGGGTTAATGCTATTCAGATAACCATGAAATTCCTTCAACTCTATTTCCGAGCCAGACCAAAACAGACATATATCATCAATATAACGTCCCCACCAAATAAGTGAGTGAGAGTGCCTTGGAGTTCCCTCTTTTTTGATTACAGTAAAGAAAGTTGAAAATGTAGAAAAGCATAATAGGTCCTCTTTAATATTTGAAGTTGTTGGAATAGATACACACTCATAAGGTGCCCTAAATCCTGCTTCCCTTGCCTTGTGAACCAGTTTCCCATGACTAATTATTCTCTCTGTATTTCAGCCTTTGTGATATGACAGTGATCTACAGAGACTGTTCTTCATTTATCCTCCTACTCGTCGCCTTATTCACTGCTCACTTGCCAAGTGTGAGCTTTAAGATTCTGTATTGCACACCAAATTTATGACAGCAGTGCAGAAAATGTCAATTTTCAGAGGGAATTGAAAAATACAGCTTCTAAAGTTTTCAGCTTTCATGAATCATGAACAGTGTAAATGTATTTTAGAGGTCCAAGGTCAATGAATCTTTACTATTAAGGCCCATTAACACCGAGAACGATAAAGATAACTATAAAGATAACAATATTAGCGTCTACACCAGCTGATGATATTGTTCTGTTTATTCTAAGCACGTGCTTGTCTTCCGCTTTAAATGCTTGATCTTGTTATAGCAGGATTGATTCTGATTGACTGTCAATGTTTTCATTGTTCATCAGCTGGATAAAATCGTTCTGAAAGGGATTCCAACAATATCGTTTCTCTGTGCCGTTATCGTTATAGCTGTGGTGTGAACTCTGCTATTCTTTAGTATTGAGAATGATTTTTATCGTTAACTTTATCGTTATCTTTACAGTTATCCTTGAATGGGCCTTTAGAGTGCAAATATGGTCCAGATGGGTCTTGAACTGAGCCCTTCAAGTAATGTCATCAACTGTGATATAGGGATCTTTCTAAACAGAAGGGCTTACAACCATGAAAACCAAAAAATCTTTTGAGAGCATACAAATAAAAATAAAAATAATTACATTTTAAAATAATGCTATGTATTACATTTGTAATAATAAATATAGCCGCAAGCAGCAATCATCAGGGTCCAAGCACAAATGGTCTACAACTTTAAAGTATTTTCAGAAAAGTTGGGATATTTTGTAAAATGCATTAAAATCAAGAATCTGATTTGTTAATTCTGTTTAAACTTTATTTAACCCACAGAAGTACAAAGAATAGATTTTCAATGTTTTCACTGGCCAACTTAATTGTATTTTGTAAATATAAACAAATTTTAATTTTGATGGCTGCAACACACTCCAAAAAAGTTAGGACAGAGGGATATTTACAACTGTCACATCACCTTTTCTACACCTTTTAATTTTTCGGGAATTTAGGATACTATATGTAGCAGTTTTGCTAGTGGATATTTTTTGGCCGATCTCGCCTGACACAAGACATCTGCTAAACAGTCCGTGGTCATCATTGTCTGTTTATCCTTTTTATGATGGGCCATACATTTTCAAAAGGAGACAGATATGGACTTCAGGCAGGCCAGTCAAGCACATCACTCTATGGTGGAGAGTGTCTAATAAACCACTCTGTTGTAGCACATGCAGAATGAGGCCTGGCATTATCTTGCCTCCCAGGAAAGGTCATCTTGATGGCAGTATGTCTCTGTACAATCCCAATATATGCCTCCACATCAATGATACCTTCACATATGCAAATCACCCATGTCGTTTGCAATAATGCATCCCCATACCATGGCAAATGTTTGCTTTTGCACTAGTCGCTGAAGAAAATCTGGATGGTTCCTTTCGTCTTTGAGAACATACACCCA